CCGGTTCGTTCCCCCGGGGCTCTCGGCGTCCCCGCGGCTGCGCTGGACTGGAGGGGTTGGGCGGGAGGGGGAAACTGCGGGGATGAAGCCATGGCCGGGGCGTCGCATGAGGTGCGGATGAGCCGCCCATCCTGCCTGCTCATCTGGTTCCTCCTAGGCCCAAAGCACTAAGGTAAGACAAAGAAACGAGGCGGAAACTCGGAGCCCGGTCGTCAGTGTAACAATTTATTGTCTCCATTTCACGCACTTTTCTCCTGTCGAAGCTGTGTTTTCTGGAAGGGCCTCGCTGTCCCTTCTCACGCGCCCGTGGTGGCTAATGCGGTGGCTGGCGAGCGGTGACCTCCTTCCGCGGGGCGGGAGTGTGCGGAACCCCAGCTGGGCAGGGATGGGCAGTCCCCGTGTTGAAACAGCCGTAGAGGTGGTGAGCACACTGAGGAGGTGGCTCTATGTGGTAAACACAATCGAGAGATAATTTTTTGTTGCTTTTTTTTTGCTTTTAACTGAAATCTCTTAAAAATATCACTTGCAAGAATGAAGAAATGCCAGCAGTTGTTTACTGAAATAACCAGTGATGCTGGTTTATTGTAAATTGCTGGTATTATATTTACAGAGTAAGGTTAAATTTAAGGTATTGCAGTAGCAAAGCTTCCAACTACTTGCAGCAGTGCAAAGTTCATCTGTATCTTATTGCTACTGAGCAAATGTGTGGGCGATATCTAGATCTAATAATCTATACAAAAGGATAGAAAAGAGGAAAAATAAAATTTGTAGTGCAGCACCAATATAGATCTTGATTCTGGATCTAACTAGCAATCGTGATTTGGTGTCAAGCTGCCTTGAAGAGAGAAGAGAATGTTGTAAGAACAGTAGTCTTTTTTTTCCCCCTCTTGGTTAGATGCCTTAAAATATGTAAGGAAAATCCATTTTTTTATTACAGGTTATGCATCCTTATGTAAGGTTATTTCTTCTTACTAGTAGGAAGACCTGATTTAGTTCTTCACTCTTTTTGAGTATTTGAAAGTATTTGGCTTATAATGTGTTGCCTTTTTTGTTTAATTAGTTGCTCTTTATCTTTGATTTTTTTTCTCCTTGAGTCCATGCATAAGTGATAGATATTTCAAGATGCATCATTAAAGAGGAGTAAATTTTTTTTTAAATTACCTGTTCTAGCACATAATAGAAATTGTGACTCCTTTAAAGCCTTCTTTCTAAAGCTTTTAAAGCTGTGGTTGTAAAGGGCTAGTCTAAGTGCTCAATTGTGCAGGAAAGGAGCTATTTAAAAATACACTGTAAGAACTAGGTTTCAGTTCTTTGAAGTTGCATTTGTAGTTAGTTGTAGCTAATATGCTTTTGTTATGTACAGTACAAAAATCAAATTATCTATGTTATGTAATTATGATTATCTGTCCATTGGTTGGGTGATGCTGGGATGGAGTGGAATGGGGTTTGGGGAGAGGGAGTTTATCACTTTACCCTCAAAAGCTCCCTGTAGGAAAAGCTTTTGACTGCCCATCATAACTAACACAAACTTCTTCAGCTGCATTTGTTCAGTCCTCCAAATTAAAAGCAGAAGAGTTGAAGTACTGCTGAAGAGAGGAAGAAAAAAATGGGGTGGGGGGGGAGAACGAAGAAAAGGGAGAACAACAACAACAAAAAGATGGTACTGTGAGTCACAAAGTGCCAATTTAAAAAAAAATCCTGAAAACTCCCTTTTGGAAATTTGACTGTATTGTTTCCTTCTGCTACTTCATACCATTAGAATTATATCAAATGCACCAGTCTGTGTATTTCTGCATGTGTAACACATGTGTGTGGCTTAGAGTGAGGTTAAATTTTCCTTTATTATTGGTAGGTAAGGAGGAATAAACTGATGAGGGATTAACTGCCCGGGTTAGATGAGGAGCTATGGCAGCCATTTTGTTGTTAATGTATTGATGAAATTGAGGTGAAGCACAAATGGGTTGAAACTGTCTGTTTTATTAGCGGTGTTGAGTGTTTTACCTAGAGAAAGTAATTTTAATGCAATAGTGTATATTCCAATGTAATTTTTCCAATGTAAATTGTAAGTTAATAGAGATGAGCAGGAATTCAGCTATTGTATGGTATAGCTGTTTAAATCCAAGATATGTAAATTGTGCATAATGTAGAATCAGACATTTTTATGTTCAACTTGGATGTATGAGTGAAAATACTATTTTTTCACTTTGCTGTATTAGGATTTTCTTTACAGAAAGAAGGCGCTGCACTGAATTTCTCAAAATGGGTGGATTAGTCAACATTGAAACTAATTCTATACTCCTTTCAACTAGGCATACAGAAAGCTGGCCAAAGAATATCATCCTGATAAGAATCCAAACGCAGGGGACAAAGTAAGCTATCTGTTTAAAAAGAAAATCTTAAATTTGCTGTTACAATAACATCTGAGGGACTAAATACAAGTCTTGAAGCATCAGGGCCTCAAGTTGTTCAGGAATAGAAATGTGAGATGAAACTGCCTTGTCTAAAACTCTCCCCAGTCTCAAAACCTCCCTCACAACCCTCTGGTATTATCTCGTACCAGAACAAAGCAATTCACTGAGACAGACATATGTATTTAAAGGGGAGGAAACAAATTCACTTTCCAGATATTTTGAAGAAGTGTGCTAGTACCTAAAGTATGTCAGTACAGAGCTTTTTGAGGATGAAGCAGACACTGAAACTGCTCCAACATAAAGCAAATTGTGAATGTGGGAAGGCTGAATTGGATATTGTGTTAATAGCACCAAAAATACTAATCGACTTGGGCATTTCAGTCTGCTTAACAGAATGGAAGTTCTAATGGTGGTTTAGAAGTACAGTAACGTGACTATGAAACAATACTATTTTTTCATGTTCATGTGTTTTTTATAAGATGCCCAGTTGTTTAGCTATTTTAAGTATTACCAAGTCTTGCAGTCTTTGCCATTAGTGTGCAATTTTTCTTTTTACCTGTTGGCTATTGCAGTATTGCATACTTATTTTCTTCAAATGGGGCCTTGGAGGGAAGGAAGAGAGACTTGTGCTAGGCACAGTGAAAGAGCAAGTCTGTGGGATAGGTGCAGTTGTATGTAGTATTTTTTTCTTTTAAATGAAGTAACAAAAGGCTAATCGTGCTTTTAAGCCTTATGCATTTATAAATGGGAATGAAAAACAGTTCTATTATATATCTTCTTAATCAAGTATTGATGTTGGGCACAAAACAGTGTCCTAATGTTCCCTTGAAGTTGAAAATTTTCATGGGCTTTTTAACTCTATTCCTCTTTCTAGTTCAAAGAAATAAGCTTTGCCTATGAAGTACTGTCGAATCCAGAGAAACGTGAGCTGTATGATAGATATGGAGAACAGGGCCTTCGAGAAGGTAGTGGTGGAAGCAGTGGAATGGACGATATTTTCTCCCACATCTTTGGTGGTGGATTGTTCAATTTCATGGGTGGTCAGAGTAGAAGTCGTAATGGTAGAAGAAGAGGAGAAGATATGATGCATCCGCTCAAGTGAGTATCTTAATACTGCGCTTTATGTTCATTTTCTAGCTTTGCTGATTGGTGGTACTTGACTCACCTATTATATACTCTTGGTGTATTCCTCACTTTGTACCTGCTGTGCAGTTTGTACCTACCCTTCAGACCCGTGTGTCACAAGTAGCCCAGACAGCACATGGCTTGGCTTACTTTTCACAATTATGGATTTACCTAATGCTTCCCTTACTTGGTTAATAGCATAAAAAACTTGGTTTGTCACCATTATTTTCTTTAGTTTTACTACTTAATTATATTTGGAAGTTTTAATCTTAAATTATCCAGCAAGTAAGTATTTATCTATTAGCCTGGATTAAGAAAGTAGAGATACTAAAGCTCTGGAAAAGCTATGTTAGTTGATAAGTATTTGTAGCTTACCATCATCTGGAAGTAGGTGCAAACTGCATAATAGAAACGGTGTTCTTTTTCTTTCCTTGTTTGCTTGTTTTCTTCCCTCCAAAGAAACTGCTTGAACATTAGATCTAATGTTTTGTAAGTCTCCACTTGCAATTATGGCTGGTGTTTTGCAGGCTGAACATCTCCCAAGTTCTTTATGAGCAGGCCAAGCACAGAAAAGATGTAGCCTAACTTTGCTTAGCAAAAATCTGTTTTCCTTTTTCATTCTTGCTTAGTTCAGTAGCTAGCATTGCATGCTGTATTATTAATTAGCTTTGTGTCTTTGTTTGTAAACACTGATACCAGGCAACCTTTTCTATCTCAAAAAGCACTCTTAAAATTCCTATCATTTATGACGCGTTTTAAATACAAAATGGTTTTAGAAACTTTTGTTAATATATAGTTATTGGAGTTTGCTATTGCATTTAGGGGCTAAAAATTGGAACATAAACAAATGTAAAGAATAAAGAGAGTGGCCCTGGAGACATGGCAAAAGAAAAAGCACTATCTTGCTTTTATTTCCAGTGGAAAGCCCAATATAGTGTTAACTTTAAATGTTCAGTATGTGTTCTTCTGTATGTATGCGACCAATAATGTCAGCATAATCTAGAAAGAGGTTTTTCTCACTTGTGTGAAAGAAATGAAAAATGAGATGCATCCTGTAATAAAACCCGGAAGACTAGATCAGCTTGTTTACTGAACACAAGAATTAAGAAACACAACCAGTTTTATATGTTTTTTTTGCATCTAATGGTTTTATATGGAATTATGTTCAGGATTATATATACATGTTCACATAGAGGGAGTATTTTTAGTGACCCTTTGTGAAACCTAAAAGCCTGCTTTAAAGTTGTCTTCTAATAGCAGGTTATTTTATTTTTCTCTGGAGATCATTTCTTTTTTGGAGGGGGGAATGAGAGGGGTTTCTTATTTTTGATTGTTTTTTACTTATAGTTTGGATTTGTAACTTAGTTACATGGGGGAAGTTGTTAAATGATAACCCAGGTGAAAATGCTTTATTTTGTAGAGTCTCTTTAGAAGATTTGTATAATGGAAAGACAACTAAACTACAACTTAGCAAGAATGTCCTTTGTAGTGCATGTAATGGGTAAGTTTTTATTTTTAAGTTCTCTGGATGCTTTGTCAGTGTGTAGTGAAGGATCTCAGATTTCTGTTCTGTTTGACTTGCTGGAGCCTGTTCTCAGACCAGAAAATTCTTAAACTTGAATGATACTGTTGATGGAACTGGAACTACTCGGGTGCCTCCTTAGTAGGGTTAAAGGGGGAAGAGAAGTCTAAAAGAAGGTGATGCAATTGAGCATGTCTCACTACTGTTTATGTCCTTTTGGCACATACTTCTAAAAAAACTTGGGTTTTGCACAACTGGTGCTTTCTATTCTAGGCAAGGTGGAAAATCTGGAGCTGTTCAGAAATGTAGTGCTTGCCGAGGTAGAGGTGTTCGTAT